CGACATGATGTGGCTTCCCTCTGCCTTTTCGACAAATATTTTCAACTGCTTTGACGATTTATTTTCGCCGGTGCCTCAACTGCATGAATTTAAACGTGCTACTAGGTTGGCATATCGGTCCCACGCTTTTACTGTCAAAATAGTTAAATAAAACCGCCTCTTCTACTCCAACAGCTTTTTCGCTCGCACTTCCCGACAGTGGAACTCCCTTCCTCTTAGTTGCTTCCCCGATAACTATAATCTTCAAAAATTTAAATGTAATGTCAATCGACATCTTCTGATGCCTTGATTTTGATCTCAGTCCTTTTCTTCATCCTTTCCTCAAACACCCCTCTTTACTTTTACTTCCACTTTCTGTAACCCATTGCGTGATAGTGACACTCCCACCTCGCTTTGGGTGAAATGCTTAAAAAATGATAATAAGAAATATTGACCTGTATATACAGAGACATTTACACAAACCTCGCGATAGAGTTATACACATCCACACAAGCATAGTATAGATATGTACACATTTACATACATAGCTATACATATACACATATGCTTACACACATAGCAATAGATACATAAACTTTAACGCATGTAGCTACAGAGACATTTATACATACCTCCTATAGACGTATACACATTTACACATGCATAGCTGCATCTGTCTATATTTCTGAGATGAGGTATTGTTATTATTTACATTATTTACATTGTTCGGACTATTGTCTTCGTCTTTATTGCCATATTCACGACGTTTCGGTCGTTGTACGCTACGGTCTTCTTCAGGATCTGTCTATATTTCTGAGATGAGGTATTGTAATCATTTACATTATTTACATTGTTCGGACTGTTGTCCTCGTCTTTATTGTCATATTCACATATATATACACATTTACATACACAACTATAGGTATATACGCATGTGAATATGCATAGATATAGGCACACACACTATTACATACATAGCTAGGGAGACGTATACTCATTCACACATACATAGCTATATATACATACACGTTCACGCACAGTTATAAATACATACATATTTACAATACATAGCAATAGAGACGTATACACATTTACGGTATGGTATATCCACATTTAAATACACATAACTAGAGATACATACATACTTACACACAGATGTAGACATATACACTATAACACACACGTTTGTAGATGTGTATACATATAAAAAATTAAATGTAGACATATACAAATTTACATAGACACATAATGATATATACATAGGTACTTCACAGACAGACATATACAAACACAGTCTTCATTTTTTTATGTGCCGTGTCCTTTCAGGAGGTAGGCGATTATGGCCTTCCATATCTTCCTCTCCTTTGTAGCTCTTACCAAATCAATATTTGTTATGCATTATAACTAAATCAGTGGGAACGGGGCAAGAAGATTGTGCTGCGTCATATATATATATTGTGTTGCGTTATATATGCTAACAATTTTATACACAGTATATACACAAATATAGACATGCATAAACACATATATGCACATTGTATACATATGTATAAATAACGTCAAAAACTCCCATTGTGTGTGTGTGTGTGTATATATATATATATATATATATATATATATATATATATATATATATATATATATATATAATAAATATATATAATATCATATATAAATAAATCATATATATATATTGATGATTTTGACACAAGGATATATATATATATATATATATATATATATATATATATATATATATATATATATATATATATATATATATATACACACACATTGTGTCAAAATCAAACATTGCATTCTAATTTGTCCTTGGGATAAGGACCTGTGGCCATGGCACATTGAAACACCGGTTCACGTACGATCATCGAAGTTAAGCAACGTCGAACCCAGACAGTGTCCAGATGGGAGTACTAGGTGCTGTAATCTTGGATGTGTGGGTGGGGTAATGGATAACGGCTCTGAATTTAAGATCGGAGAGCCGTTTTCCAATTCCAGTTCGGTATTAATCCACCTTTTCTCCACTAAGCTATATGTTACCGTATTTGACAGCATATAAGACGCACGGGTGTATAAAACACACCCAAATTTCAGCGTGGAAAATCAAGAAAAAATTAGTAATTAGTAAAATTATTAGTAAATGGTACAGCCTAGGTTATATTTATGAGGTATTATTTTGGTTAAACAAGCCATGATTACAATTACACGAAAAATAATAGGAAAAAAAAAAGAACACGAGCCTATAAAAACTTTATTACATCCAAAGTTAAGAAAATGAAATAAAAATTAAGCAATTATTACAATTGAGCAAAACAGTACAATTACCATTAAAATTTTATTCATCTTCAAATCCATAAAATTCGTCGTCTTCGTTGTCAAAACTCTGATACCCATTTTCAATACTACTATCATCGTCGTTAAATAATACGTCATCTTCCGTTCTATTGAGAGCATTGCTAATGCCACACTTTTTAAAAGATTTCACAATTTCTGGTCTGATTTTATCCTAAGCTTGCTTCATCCATTTGCGGACTTGTGCAATGCTGTTTTTTTTTTATTCTTCCTGTAAATGTAAGGTCGTGATCAGGCATTGCCATCCATGTGTTCCATTGCTCCTTCATGTTTAAGTCTAAGCTAATAGGAGTTGTCAGGTAGCTAATTTCGGCCGACTATCGCGAATTTTAAACCTACATATGGCATATAAGACGCAGGGGAATTTAAAAAGATATTTTTAGTAAAAAACAAGTGCGACTTATATGCCATCAAATAAAGTAATTAGTCAGACTTGTATTACTAAAACCATTATTATCTCAAAAGAATTCTTAAAATCTAAAAATATTTTCCAGTGTTAAATAACCTGTTGATAAGTCTTAAAACATGAATTAATCAATATATGAAAATAAAATCGTTTTAAATACGTAAGGAAGACTTTCTATTTTTATCAAGTTTTTACGATAAAACCCCGACTCAGCTGATAATAACGTTAAATAATATATTTGTCAGAGATCCGGTTCAGGTTTACAATTAAAAACAACAAAGTTAAGGATATCTTCTCTTTTCTAAAATCCTAAGATAATCTATTTACGTATCTATGCATTTTCTCTAGATTTCATCTTAATTATTTATAGCAGTTTATTGTCGGCCGATATTAACCCGAATCAGCCAACATCAAACGGTTGAGAAGGACCAACATGGTCAAAACGTTGCTTTAAAAACGACAAAGATGAAATTACACGACGAGAAGCCTTTTGGAAAAAAATGAGTGTGCTTATAAGTGAGAGGGTGTTGACAATGCCTTCCACTAGAAGGCTGCACAACGTGAACCTGAAGCGACGTTCATTCGCTATTTACAAACAGAGTCACGTGTCTAGCACACATGCGCACTCTCGCTCTGCATGTCGCCATCATTTTGTACCTTTGTTCGTTTGTTCGCATGAGTATTTCAACGTGAGAAATAAAGAAGAAAGGTCATCTTTTATATAAATTACGAAGGAAACTCGGCTTTAAAAAAGAATATAAATTACGAAATGTAGCCATCTCGAGAATATTCGCAGTGAATTTAATCAAATAAAGAACATTATAACTAACGCCTACGCAGAATCCAGAATCCTGGAAGCTGAAAATTATTATTATTATTATTATTAATATAATAATAATAACACATAATAATAATATATATATATATATATATATATATATATATATATATATATATATATATATATCCAAGTGTAAAAGAACGGAGAGAAAGATTTGAGCATTCAAAACATTAATTTAAAACAGAGCTCAATACAAAAGTAGAGCCGTATATTTATTTATTATGCAGTGTTACATTAGAACATGCACATGTGTATGTTCTAACGTAACACTGCATAATATATATATATATATATATATAATTGTATATTTCGGCAGCAATCCTTCTTTTATACAAATTTCATTCAATTAAACTTATATATTAGATTCTAAGCATTTTTTTCTTTTGAAATAATCATGATTTAGAGATACAAGACTTACTAATTAACCCATAGGTGGGAGGAGAAGAGGTAGATTCATACTTATTCAGAATCTGATAAAAAAACAAGAAATTATTATGTGGATATAAAGTGGGAGATCAGTTCTATATTACAATCAATATATAAACTGATTCCCCACTTTGTGGTCATTGTAGTTTCTATACATTTATATTCCAGAGAGTGTAAATAAAAGAGATGCCTGCGTAGCTAATCAGTATTTGATTGATTGCTTGATTCGTTTTTTATGGCTTATCAATCTTTGCAGGTTATTTAAAGCCAGAACATATTTTTAAATTGTACGATTTTTTTTCTGATGATAATGATTTCGTAATACATACATTACTAATTAACCCATACCTCGGGGGAGAAGAGGTGGGTTCATACCTATAGAATTTGGTAAACAAACAAAGAATTATGATGTTGATATAAATTGGGAGATCAATTTTATATTACCATCAATATATAAACTAACACCTCACTTTGTGGCCACTGTATTTTCTATACATTTATATTCCCGAGAGTATAAATAAACGAGATGCCTGCGTAGCTAATCAGCATTTCATTGATTAATTGAGTGATTCGTTTTTTACAGCTTATCAACCCTTTACAGGTTATTTAAAGCCAGAAAATATTTTTAGATTGTAAGAAATTTTTTTTGAGATAATAATAGTTCAGTACAAGAGGGACAGAAGAAAACAACGCATAACCTACCTAGAGAGTTTGAGTAAATGGATAGCGGAAGAAGGTTATTAGGAACTACGAAAGACAAGAAATTGTGGAGAGCCATGATCACCTACATCTTGAAGGGAGACGGTACATAAAGAAGAAGAAGCTACAAGTCTTACGTAGTAAGCTGAAGGGAGAAGTGGATTCATACAATTCCAAAGGGTGAACATAACGAACCCAACTGGAATTAGAACTCGGCTCTCCGATTAGAGATTTCGAGCCGTTATCCATTACACCAACCGTCCAAACAAAATTACTCTATCTGGTATTTTCAAGCTGATACCCATCTTGGTACTGACCAGGCTCAGTGTTGCTTAACTTCGGTGATCGTACGAGAACCGGTGTTTCAACATGGTGTGCCCGTAAGCCGAAGATAACAAGTGGTCGACGTTGTCAAGTGTTGCAGATCATAAAACCAACGTGGGAAGTGTTTAACTAAGGATGGAAAATATAACAACTTTTCTAGCAGCAGGCCGATCAATTTATCTTTCTACTTCATGTCAGCGGAAATGGTCAAACCCAGAAGGTGCAATGACTTACTTCCTGAAGTTTAGTATCTATATATATAAAATTGTAGACTGTCTGTTTGTTATCGAACTCCTCCTAAGGTTTTGAAGTTAGACCCCCATAACCATGCATATTCTGAAGCTACCTTACCTAGGATACTTGGATAAGTATATTTTATTTTGATCAAAGGGGGTCCCCGGGGTTGGGTGGGGCACAAACTCTCCACTAAAATTTTTTTTCCCTTTGATATGAATTAAATTTAAATTTGAACCAGAGAATGACTTCTAGGGTACTTGGATAAGTATATTTCATTTTGATCAAAGGGTGGGGGTGGGGGTGGGGGCTTAAACTCCCCACTGAAAATTTTTTTCCCTTTGATTTAAATTAAATTTAAATTTGAACAAGGGAATGACTCCTATCCAAAATATAGAAGGAGAAAGCCAGAAGATGGCGGTCATATCAGCACGATCATTGAGTAATATTGAAATGCATAATTTTTCACCACAAATTATAACAATTATTTAAAATCAATCATCATTTTCTTACATAAAATGTATGACACGCAGCAAGGCACGGGTAATTCGGCTAGTATATATATATTAGAGTTATGACTTTTGTGTTGGGTGACAGTTTAAATAAAAAAACTGAATTAAACCCACAAAAGTTCAACGAATTATGATACATGAAATCAATTATTCTACAAAACGCCAAAAAGTTATAATTCTATATATATATATATATATATATATATATATATATATATATATATATATGTCAGTTGACCCTGACGATCCGTATAGGTGAAACCTAGGTAGGTGAAGCCTGGCTCTTTAGGTTCATATTTAGGTTTGCTCTACTTAGCGTATTGACCACTTTACGTAGTTACTTTTGCTTTACTCGTTTTGGAAGTTTTTTTCTTTGAACTCTGAACTTGGATTCTGGACGATTGTTTTCACCTCAATATCATTGTCTTAGTTCTTTCTTTTTTTGTCCCTTATTTTTCCTTGGGCATTGGTTTGTGCAATTACAAGCTAGAATACCTAAGGTTTTTCCAGACGAGTATAACTATTTATCACACACACACACACACAGACACACACACACACACACAGACACACACACACACACACACACACACACACACACACACACACACATATATATATGTGTGTGTGTGTGTGTGTATCTAAGAAAGGCTTAACACATCACGAAAATACGGTGGTAGATCATGATTTATTTTGATCAGTAAATCTCATCAGACCGACGATGTAAATGGTATAAATTTACAAACAATGATTCAAGTTATCCAGAGAAAAAGAAAGAAAGAAAGAATCTCTAAATATATAGCAAGAGCACCCGACTATATGTAACTGATCAGACTTACTATTAAGACAGGTGTAAATAGATGTGTCATCAGCATAGATACAGAAGTTGTCATTAGGAGAAACCATCAGCAACGTAATTGATGGAAATTAGAAACAACGTAGGTTCAAGTATAGACTGCAAAAAAGATTTAGAGGAGTGGCCGTTTAGGATAACTTTCATTTCAAGATTTGATAAAGATTGAATCAGTTCAGAAATTCATCCAGAAATACCATAACCTTTTAATTTGTATCAAGTATGTGGGGATCCATTTTTGAGATGATAGCAGAAACCATGGTGGGAAGTATATACATATCAAATATTATTATTATTGTTTTGTTTAGTTTTGACTTGCATTGATATTGTTTGCTTCGTATTTTTATTCTTATTGTTTATTAATGAAAAAGAGTTCCACAAGTGGGATAAGAAACTGTTGGAATTTTACTTATGGTTATAACTAGACATTTCAATTATAAAAGGATGAGACCTAGCTGCCACTCTAGTACTGCGCTTAAATATGTAAAGTCTAGGTACCAAAAAGAAAGCTCCTGAAAACATGAAAATATCTATAGTGAAGAAGACCCACATGCCAACTTCTGTCAAATGCTTTTGAGATATCCAAAGCAATAGCCCGAGCTTCATCATTCTTATCTAAAGCTTTCAGCAATAATCGTTAAAAAAGCAGGAAAGCAAGAAGCAAGGCGATTACTGTAGTGTTTAGAGAGAACAGGAGCCAGTTCATTGGCACATTTCTTAAGGATGATTTCAGGAATAGCATCAAGTATGTTTGGATCCAGTTTAGAGATGATAGCAAAAATCATGAATGGTGTTATATGCATAACACTCAGTAGAGACTCAATTCTCACTGGAAAGTCAGGAAAAGATACTCTAGATGAGTCAAGAGTAAAATTAGAAGAGGATTAATGCGCAAAACTTTGACTCTGTATCAACAGATATTAGCACCTCAAATTTAGTGAAGAGATGAGGAATAGAAGACAATCTTATTTAACACACTATTACAGAGCCGCCAGTAGTCACGAGAGTCAAACTTGTTAGAGGCTATACAGTAGCTCATTCTATCAGCAAACAATGACTTAGCATCTTTGAGGACACGTTTACAATTATTGCGAGCAGACACAGGGGACTGTTGTGATCGGAACTATCACACTGATACATCCAGAAAAAGTGATTCCCGTGAGCCATAGCGGCTGAACAGGCCGGTGTGAACCAACAAGATTCTAGTTTCGTCTGACATTTACGAGAAGGTACAAAAACAGCAATGCCAGATTTAACCCAAGAAGAAACCTCTGTGGTACAATTCTCAGCGGGAAGGTTAAGAATATCAATCCAAAGGGCGTCTCGAATAAAGTAACAAAATGAATCCCAATCATTATGCTGGTAACAGAAAGAAGTGTTGTCAATAGGAGGTTCATTTCTAATAGACAACTTAAAAGAAACATCAGCAGATATTACAGTGTGATCCGAATTCCCAATAAGACAGTTGTGATACCCGAGAAGAGCTAGGGGAGGAGGTCAGGAAGACAAGTAAAGAAGAATGTTGATCACATTTATTAGGGATAGGAGTTAGGGAATCCACTATTTGACTCAGAAACTGAGCAACAGAAAAGTTGAAAGTCTGAACACCAACAAGATCAGTAACATCAAAATGCTTAAGCCACCTCACGTGATAAGCATTAAAATCACCAAACAAAAAATGTTCGCAGATGAATTGTGCTACAGAGGTTTGTATATCATCATAAATTTCGTTTAATATATTACTGTCCTGAGAAGAAGGAAAGGATAAAAGAGAGAGAGAGAGAGAGAGAGAGAGAGAGAGAGAGAGAGAGAGATAACAGAGTGCAATACATAAAGTCGAAAGCGCACGAAATAATCATCTTGGAACTCAAGAGACAATTCTCTTGCAATTGGGAGATTTTCCCGAATATAGACACCAAGTCGCGTTCGAATTCCAGTTGAATTCGAATTTCAGTTTACATACAAATACCCTTAGGAAAAGTATAACTAGGTCTTCACCCCACAGCTACGGGTTAAATAGCAGGACTTTTATATGGAAAAAATCATTGATATCTAAAAAAAAATACTGTTAATGAAATATTCACTCACAAAAGAAAGAGTTCCGGCAAAGGTTGACAAGTAAAAAACAAATCAATCGAGCAATCAATGTATTAACGCTGTACAACCAGTTCTCGAGATATTCAATGGGGTATATTTAATGGGGTATATTTAATGGGGTAATATGCTTTCTATACAGACCTAGTATGTATAACTATTGAAAGTGATGTTGCGGAAATTTGGAAATATTTAAAAACAATAATCATGAGTTAACGAGGTGGATAGTTGGAAAAATTGTTGAAATGATTAACTTGTAATATTTTGACTTCTTAGACTTGTCTGAAATAAACACCTTTCCCTAAGTGACTATTAAATGCTTCACTCGACAGTTACAGGTTTTTTCCCTTCTTTTACGTGCTATTTATCTAATATAGCAACCGCAAGTTGTTCTGTGGAGAGGAATAAAAAATGTTTGCGGTAAATTTATAAAATAAAAAAAAAAAAAGAAAAGGGCGGAAAAAGAAAAAGGCGGATCTTCCGCCACCAGCTTTTTCAAGATAGCTACTCTCTTTCTCTATCTTTTTCTATTACACACACACACACACACACACACTCATACACACATACACGCGCGTGTACGCACACATACACATACACACACACACACACACGTGCATAAAGACACACACACATACACGCACATATACATTAACGCAAATACGCATAAACTCTCACACACATACAAACATACACGCACGTGTACGCCATACGTACACAAAGAGACACACACATACACGCACACATACATTAACGCAAACACACATTCACTCACACATACACACACAAATACACGCGCGTGTACGCACACACGCACATACGCGCACACGCGCACACAGGCACATACACGTGTACACACAGACACGCACATACATACACGCGCGTGTGAGCGCGCGCACACACACACACGTACACGAGTACATACAGACGCGCACACACATACACGTGCGTGTGAGCGCGCGCGCACACACACACACACGCATACACAACACGTATGCACGCATAAGAGAGTGGGTTTGAATTTTGGATATTATTCTACACAAGACTACAGAAGCAGGGCCCCAGTTAGGGCCGAATTCATTTAACTATTATTGTATAATTATGGCACCGAACTGTAGTGTCAGTCCTCCTATATGGCAGTTCCTTCACAGATGAAGAAGAGGCTTGAATCAACAGAAATGTGCTAGAGAAGGATGGTGAGAATACCATGGTCTTAGCATGTGAGCAACGACAAAGTTTTAGAGAATATGGGAACAAAAGGGACACTAATACTTAACAGGCGAAAGAGACAGGGTTGAAATTTCTAGTGTACAAGATGAGGAAGGAGGACTTGGAAAATTAGATACGCACAGGGCGTATTGAAGGTAAGCGTGTCATATTTTTGACCGAGCCCACGGGCTCGGAGATCCCACGATAAACCGGCCTTGTGCCACATGATACCCTCGTGGGGTGGGGTGACTAAATACTGTTCAGTCTGAAGTCGGGCGACCGGATGACCGGCATATCGGTTGAACTCTGCCTTCGGGCGGGGAGGAACCCGAACGAGGCTAAGCCGAAGGGCGGAGTCTCTTTCAGGGAGGCAAACCGACCCCGAACCCGTTTATACGGGTTCAAAGGGCATATTTTTGGCCGAGCCCACGGGCTCGGAGATCCCACGTTAAACCGGCCTTGTGCCACATGATGCCCTCGTAGGGGGTGACTAAATACTGTTCAGTCTGAAATCTGGAGTGATGTCCATCAGGAGTCAGTCAGTCAGAGCGAGCGAGTCAGTCAGTCGAGTCAGAGGCAGTCCGAAACAGAGTCGCGTTCAGACAATTACTACTAAACCTGATTTTTCGTACTAACCCTTTCTACTTCTCTGTATATATTCCTGTTTGTAATATATCTGTGTTATTCCATATCCGTGTTCGAGTTCTTCTTTATTGGTTCTACCTTGGGCTATCACCGTGGTACAAGGAACCGGACCATAACACGTACAAAACAATCAGTTACACACACAGATACACACATACACACATACATAGACACACATGCAGACACACACATACACGCACGCATATACTCACATTAATACACACACACACACACACACACACACACACAAAAGCCAATCATTATATATGTATATATATATTTCGGATTATTTTCTTGTTTCCTAGCAATATATATATATAAAATAAATCCTAAAGAGCCAGGAACTACCTACCTACTTAAATATGGGTATCCACTAAAAATGACGTTTAAAGTGAGATACCCCCCCCCACATATATATATATATATATATATAGTCATCCACAGACTGACTGTTTCGCTGTATCTCAGCTTATCTGTGTGATTAGACGCTCGGTTGCCTCTAGGTAGGATCGAAACCCGGCCGAATTGGCGTCAGTCGAAGAATCTACTCCTAAGCGTTGGAGCGAGGCAGAGATGAAAATGAATTTATGCGTACTTATTTTTAGATAAACACGCCAGTGACTGAGAGAACTCAATTCGTTTTATCGAAGAGTATTACATTAGTAGCAGGAATAGACACTGTTTACAAACTCACACTTTCTCTCCTGAGAGCTCAACCGAAATAGTTTTTCAGGAGCATATACTGTCATCGACAGACAAACTGTTTTGCTGTATTACAGCTCATCAGTGTGGCTGGACGCCCGGTTGCCTCTAGCTAGGATCGAAACCACTACAACTCATGCACTGCATGCATTACAATTTTTCCAGGATAAATAATTTTGTGTAATATAAAATTAATTATTTTCACCATCCCATTTGTACTTGTATTATTTGTATTTCCCATTTCTTCATTTATTAGGATAATTGTTACAAGCGATAATATTTAGGGAGTGTAAGTAGAGAAAACTCTTGTTGTTTAGCGACAAAAGACGCAAGTAAAAGCAATGAATTTACTAGCCTTTTTAGCAGGGAGCATGAGAGACAGAACATAATAGTGAGGGGGCGAAAGAGAGACAGTCACCGAAAAGCAGAAATTCTTTTGCTTGCGTTAGAAAAGGCTATGGCTTTATAATTCCCTGTTTATTATTCCCTTCAAGTTGTGTGCATGAAAAAGAGAGACAAAATAATAAAGTAGGGGGGCTCCCAGAGAGAAAGCCACCGAAAAGCAGAAATTTTTTTACTTGCTTTCCAGTCGTATTAAACCAGCAGACAATCTCTACTGAAGTGTTGATGTTTTTATTGCGCGCGGCTGAAATCAAAGATTGCTTATTCAAAGGATTTACAGTCGGACAGATTTAGACGAAAAAATTGTATTATTCGGTTCTGAAGAGTATACAGGGAACGTCTGACGACTTTAGAGTCATATCCAAATTTCTTATTTTACTAACTTTTAAAACCCGGGTTCAGTCATGTGACCATTACTCAAAAAGTAATTTTTTTTCATAGGTGGAGCTAAAAGGAGTAACTAGGGAAGTGATTAAGTTTTCATCCGTTTCCATGCTTTAAGATTTAAGATTTAATTTTAAATGTTCAAAATTATTTTTTTAAGTTACGTAAAAAAAAAACAAATCTTGCTAATATTGCATATTATTTCATTAAGCATGTTAAAATTTGTTAAAAGACATTTTTTAAAGATTCACTGTAATACCTAATTTAAAAATTAAATTTAAAATATTTAAAATCAAATTTAATGTATTAACGTTGGTGTTATTTTAAAGAAGAAAGATTGAACTTTATCTTAAAAGAACATTTTTGTAAGTAATACAATTGAAATTAAAACAATATTGATTTACTTTACGTCAAAATTACGAATTTTCACATTTCCAGTCATCAGTCAACGCCATTTTCTGATACACGGCGTCAAGCGATAAGAAACTTACTTGAACATTTTTGTAAAAATTAAAATAAAGATGTCTACGTCTATATCTGATTTTAACTCTAACCCTGCCACATCTGCTTTATGTCAGAGATCGTTTTCTTCAATAAAGTGTGTAAATAATTATATGAGGTTTTTCCCAAAGCGATGTGCTATTAATTTGTTTTTTATCCACATGATTTTGAGGAAGATGAAGGTAGAGGGTGGGGTGATATGTTTTACAACAAAGTGAGCAATGAATTTGGCAAAAAGAAATGAAGAACTGAATAGATTTACAAATAATTTTTAATAATTCATTATTTTTAGATTTTATTATTTTCTCTCGTAATCAATAGTGGTCATCATCGTCGCCAGGGTATTACTAATGAGGTGTGGGGGGTGGCATCAGGTCCAGTGGAAAAGGGTATCAAGTGTGAAGCGGACCCTGTTGGTAGAACTCTATTTTGTCACATTAAAATTAGTTCAAATCACATTTACAGATGGTTTGGGGTGGGGATGTTGGTTAGTAAGCAAATAATTTTCCGGGGCGCAGAGTGAGGGTCTTGTTTTCTCTCTCCACTTTGGCGATTATCCTGAATATTGGACTGTATGTCCTAGTTCTTAAGTCAACCTTTGCCATTGATATCCTTCCCCCATATATATATATATATATATATATATATATATATAATGATTAAAATATGAATATTGAAAAAAAAAAACGGATATTCATTACAATAACTGGAAATATTTAATACTGCTTGAAATGTGGACAGATTACCACAAAACGTCGGAGTCGGGGAAAATTACAGTTAAGTAATTCTTTTTTGTATATATATATATATATATATATATATATATATATATATATATATATACCGTGTATCATGCAATTTATAGGTGGAATTCCAAAACATCTTTATTGGTAATCAAATGAAAGGATGAAAGGACGATAGAAAGTGAGGGATCAGTTTTGTATTGTTCTTTAGTATTAAACCCATCCCCATTTTGGCCCACTGTATATGCTATCCATTTCTATAATCTAGACAGGATTTAAGTAACTTCCAAATAATATTCTTATAAGTTGGTTTGTTACCGTATATACTCGCGTATCATGCGCTTTTTGAAGATCTAATTTTGAAGCTAATTTTAAGGAGACAAGAGATATAAAATTAGCCTATGCATTGCTGACCCTGGCTACGCCGTTGACCAAATTATATATCCATTTTTACTGTAGTCAAAAAGTACAGCTGTATTTAAAATAAACATGATTTTGATAAAACTGATGTTTTACTTAACTGTATCCAATAATAATGCATTTAATATTCACATATTTGTATCGCATTATGAAAGAGAAACATAGAGAATATGCATCTTTTCCATTGTTTACGTTTATAACATGTTTAGTTGTTCCTCGTTCGGTTGTTTATGGCTGTACGCGTTTACGCAACGAGTATAGCGTTACTAACGATACTTTTATCCTTCTCTTTTACTTTTTTAACTTATTTAACTAGAAGATGGGATAAAGAGATAGAGGAAAATAGGTTAGTCTATTGTAATTTGGTCTCTCAAGAAAGGAACTCGAATGATACACAAGGTACATGAAAAAATCATTTTTATAAGTGAAAATTTGGGGGTCGCACGATACGCGAGATCTAGCATTATATAAGTATATACAGTAAATATATATATATATATATATATATATATATATATATATATATATATATATATATTCGGGGAAGGAGTAAAAGTGTTCGTGATGCTGGAAAACAAATACAACTATTAACACTCTTACTCTCAAGCCTTTCTTTGTTTGTTTGTTCTCTCTCTCCTCGTTTGCGTATATGTGCGTTTACGTGAACGAGATAGATAGATAGATAGATAGATATAAACAGGCTGAAATAGATATGAACAGACTGAGATAGATAGATATCAACAGGCTGAAATAGATATGAACAGACTGAGATAGATAGATAGATAGATAGATAGATAGATAGGAACAAGCTGAGATGGATATGAACAGAGTCAGTGAGAGACAGACAGACAGATAGATAGATATAAACAGGCTGAGATAGATATGAACAGACTGAGACAGACAGATAGATAGATAGATAGATAGATAGATAGATAGATAGATAGATAGATAGATATGAACAGGCTGAGATAGACATGAAGAAACTAAATCAGACAGATAGATAGATAGGTATGAACAGACTGAGATAGATAGATAGATAGATAGATAGATAGATAGATAGATAGATAGATAGATACATGAATAAATAAATAGATGGATATGAACAGGCTGAGATATGAACAGAAAGAGGTAGATAAATATGATCAGGCTAAGATAGATATGAATAGATTGAGATAGATAGAGAGATAGAAAGATAGAGTGCGTGTGTGTAAGTGACAGAGAGAAAGAGAGAAAGAGAGAGAGAGAGAGATGGGTGGCCTATCCGCCTTTATACTCGACTCGAACTAATTATACAACCGTAACGCATATTGGAGAATGTAGTGTTGGAAATACTGGCCAATGTAACTGACGCAAGCGAACAATTTGTAACACTGAGCACACAAACGCACAAAAACAAAAAAACGAAAAACAAAAACAAACAAATATGCGCGTGCGCACATGAAACCATTGTTTACATGATGGCGCTCCAGCTAATGGCAGTTCCTCCTACTTCTGAAACACCTACACGTTTCATTTTAATTGGATGGACTTTTCACCTCTCAACTGTTCGTGATAAAAATCACACGATTTAAGAAGAAAAAAATTTTCGTTCTTTGCTCGCTACTTATTTATCGGCTTCCATCTGCAAAATATCGATAATCTTATTTTTTTTTGTCGAAACTGATCAATTTTTATCATAGCCGTTTACACCATGAATCGTGTTTCTTTTTCCTTTCTTTTCTTTTTTTTTAAACTTCAATTTGAAATGTCCTTCAACGTCATTCTGTCTACCAATGTCAGTCTTATTAACATTGTGGTAAAACATCCAGTAAAATGGTTTCTTGCTAGTAAGCGATACCCATGAATCACAAAATTTAATTACACGAATTAGCACGTCTTGTTCGAACTAACGTAAAACTTATTAAGGGACTAATGTAATATCAATCGCCCACACAAGAAAAATCAATTTGTCTGTCTCTTTCATCTCTCTCTCTCTCTCTCTCTCTCTCTATATATATATATATATATATATATATATATATATATATATATATATATATATATATATATATCAAGCGGGCATAACATAATAAAAGTGTTTGGAATAGGATGGAGAATAAATCAGATATTAATAGAAATGAGTCTATATATATATATATATATATATATATATATATATATATATATATATATATATATATATATATATCTTCTGATTCTTTCATAAAAACTTGTTTTGTTTATAAATGCACATTTATAAATTTTATCTTTTATTTACTTTTAATTTTTTTATTTTTACTTATTTTGTTTTTATGTATTTGTTTAATTTTTTACTTATTTTTAAATTTTTTACTTATTAATTTTTTATTTTTACTTATTTTTACTTTTTCTTCTTATTTTTACTATTTTTTTTCTTATTCTACATATTTTCTGGGGTGATAAGAACAGATTTTTCTGCATTTCGTACTTATACAAAAAATCTCTAAGATTATGTTTTGAAGAAAGAAAATGAAGCAAAGGGAAAATTTTCTAAATTTATTGAAAAATTTACATCAGTAATGATTTTAGATGAATTAAACAAATCAGCTCAATATCGTTGTGATAGATTGAGGTCTTCAGTTTAGTTCTCAATTTCAGCATAACGGAAGGAGTCTTCGCCACTATACTATATATATATATATATATATATATATATATATATATATATATATATATATATATATATATAAAATACAGAGCATTTACTTAAATAAATCGTATCTATTAAATGACGTATAAACAGAAAATATATTAAATAATTACATATATACATATATATACATATATATATTATATATATATATATAGATCGAGAGGGATACACACACACATTGATATATATATATATATATATATATATATATATATATATATATATATATATAAATAAAGACGGCGGTGTGCAAAAGTAGGTATACAGTAAGTAAATCAATGCTAAAAAAATCAATGTAAAAGCAGGTAATCAATACAATATAACTAGCACGTTTTGTTTTTCGTTACTGTATACCTACTTTTGCATAACCTGTGTATATATATATATATATATATATATATATATATAAAGAGAGAGAGAGAGAAAGATTCAGTGAAGGAGAAAAGATTTTTAATTATCTATAGAATACTTTTTTGAAGTGTTTCTGTTGACATGAACATACGTTAAGTTCGAAATATTTTCTATATATATATATATTCATCCTATATATATATATATATATATATATATATATATAAACGCACTGTTTTTGTTGTGTGGCCTCGTTCCCAATAATCAGTACACATGACTTCACGCCAGCCCATACACACACACACACACACACATTTTTTTAACACACACACACATACATATATATATATATATATATATGTGTGTGTGTGTGTGTGTATGTGTGCGCGTGCGTGTGTTCTTCGACGTGCTATTAATCTGACATTAAATTACTTCTGACGTTATTTTTAGTGGATACCCGTATTTTATTAGACGCCCTGTTTATTTTTGGGAACAATTTTTTATTTCGTCCAATGGACTGAATATTCGTAAATGGAGCATTTTTTTTATTAGATTAGATTTATATATATATATATATATATATGTCTCGACATATCTATCTATCTATCTATCTATCTATCTATCTATCTATCTATCTATCTATCTATCTATCTATCTCAGTCTCTTCATTATCTATCTCGCTCTCTCTCTATATATCTATTGACATCTCTATTGTCTCAGTTTGTCCTTATCTGTATTCATCTGTGCATTTCTCTCTCTCTTTCTCAAACACACACGCAGTTAGCATGATGATAATGATGATGATGATCATCATCATTATCTATAAATAAACACAAGCACTATGCTTCTCTCTTTTTTCACAGATATCCATTTCTCTCAACCAATTCCCTCATTTCTGTTTACTGCTTGTGTTGCCCACATTGTTCGTTATGAAACAATGCGCTTCTTTCATTTTATAAACATCTTCCGCCCCCCCCCCCGCCCCAGGTCCAGTCTATAAAGTAACTCTCATTTCGGGTTGCCAACAAATTTCTGCGATGCACAAAAATCATTTCGAAAACATTCCTGAAAGCGTTACATGGTTATTTGCAGCTGCTTTTCAATGTTTTTATTCGGGAGATGTGTGCGCATGCGTGAAGTTGGTTGTTTGTCTGTATGTCCGACATTGTTGAAGATTAAAGGATCTCAAGACTGGGCTTAAGTGTGGAGCAGAAGCGATGCTGTCAGACATTTTCCAATGTGACCATCATGGTGGATAGCTTGCCTTCCGTTCACTTTAGTCAGTTATCCATGTGCTCTGGCTCTCTCTCTCTCTTTCTACCGCGCGCGTCCGCGCATACATACACACACACATACGCACATATACATATGCGTGTGCTGAACTGCTAGAGACACGCTTCGGCTTCAGAAATGGTTCCCTCAGGTAAAAAAGGAATTCAGGTTCAATTCCTGTCGGAGGCAGGAATCGAACCTGCATCCCTTGAATCTAGAAGTTCTGTCGGAGGCAGGACTTCTCAGTTCAGGTCGGTTTTTATTAATTTCACTGTTTAACAAAAATCGATAAACAGGTGTAACTTCGCCGACACGTGTATCCACTGAAAAGAACGTTTATTGCAATAAAAAATAATGCCCAAGAAAAACTTTTAAAAATCACACACACACGCACACGCGCATGCGCAGACACACACACGCGCGCGCGCACACACACACACACATATAATACACAACAGAGAAATCCAAAATTACCTTATAAATTTTATATGTTCTGTTATAATTACATTTAGCTCTTTTTGTGGATCAGTTTTAATAATTTTATATTATTAGGATTCACTTGGATTATATACCAACGGATTTTTTACCTATATATATATATATATATATATATATATATATATGTATATGTATATATATATATATATATATATATATATATATATATATATATATATACAAACATGTTTGATTAAAAAGAAGGAAAACTTTTTCTCCTTTTGTCACACATATATATATATATATGACAATATATATATATATATATATATATATATATATATATATATATATATATATATATATATATGACAATATATATATATATATGACAATATATATATATATATATATTACAATATATATATATGACAATATATATATATATATATATATGACAATATATATATATATATATATATAATATATATATATATATATGACAATATATATATATATATATATATATGACAATATATATATATATATATATATATATATATATATATATATATATATATATATATATATATATATATATATATATATATATATATATATATATATATATATGACAATATATATATATATATACGACAATATATATATATATATACTGTCGGCGTGGGTGATTTCTTTTGTTTTCCACTTTGTCATATTTTTCTAAATACTGTTTGTTAATATAAAAAATTATTCAAAATTATATACCGTTATATCATACATAAGGAGAGATTATAGTTGTTCCAACGAGAGAAAAGTATATTTTAAACAAATATTTTTGGTTATAAGGTGGATTTTTTTATATATTATATTTTATTTTCTGTATTTTTTGCTACACGTGTTTTGCGTCTTGTGAATTTCATCAGGCGAATAATGGTTATTTCCACATATTATTTTAAAGGGGCTAATTTTTTTCTTAAGTTTCTTTTTAACCATTGGATTTTGCGTGTAGTAGTAATCCAAAATTATCTTGGACTAGTGGAAGTATATATATATATATATATATATATATATATATATATATATATATATAAGCAAGTTTGATTAAAAAGAACCAACAAGGTCTACCTGATTAATTTCTTATATTTTTCCAATTTTCGCATAAGGTTATTGTGCTCGAAGTTGTGGATAAACTGTCCGAAGTTCATATTATTTATATTTTTGTTCAAGTGCTTTCGACTTTCGCAGTCATTATCAAGGACCGATGTAGTATGTGTATGGTAGTTAGAATTCCTTTGTCTGCATCCTGGTATTCTTTGGAAAGCTGGGCGTTTGAAATGATGTTGCGTGACGTCACGTGTGATGGCTACTGGAAACGAGGCTACACAAAATGAATGCGATTTATTTATTAATTAATTTAATTAAAATTTTCATTTTGTATTTATTATTATTATTATAAGACTGATAAAATATGTCGGCACATTAATATATATGCACTTCAAGATACCTTCACCTGTGGTAAATGATATTTTGTTTAATATGGGTTGTTTATTTTGTATAATATTATCTTCTCGAGTTTTGAGTCTTTCCTTGCATTTCGTGCTGTGGAGTACTTTGGTGTTATCTATTAGTATTTGTTATTTTTTCTTTTACAGCGAGGTTCACTCTTTACAAGGCCCGGGGGCCACTCGAGGTAGAGGGTAACGTTTGGAGGCTATTTATGTGTATAGGAGTGGAAGATAACATTTAACCCTAGCATTGAACAGGTTAAGATTGTATTG